CTTACACAACACCAGTTCATCGCTTGAGTTGGGGGACTTTTTTACCCTTGAATGATTTGTAGATCAGTGGCTTAACAAATAAACACATTGCTTTTGATGGCTCAAGACTTTTGCACGGTACTGTCGTTTAATGTTTGAGTATGAAACACATTTTACTGTTATATAAAAATGTAAATAATGTAGATTTCGTTTTTTTTATCTTTGCTATTCTGTTTTACTAAAGCCAATGTGCTGTGAATCTTGCAGTAATATCTTCAGCAGGACCTTCTCCTACTTACTCTTCTTTCTCTCTTCAGTCGTCATTTTTGACCTTCGGTCATTTCCCATCCCCCCTGCCTATTTGACCTCCCACTTCATACCTTTTCTTTTATTCTTTATAGTCAATACTTTTTAAAGCCGTCTTGCACCTACAGTATCTGCTAGAAGCGTTTTGTCTGTATGCATGTATTTTAGTGTACTACAAATATAGACAAATAGTCACTCTGTGGAGGGCAAGGTTGCGGGTCAAAGGCAGTGTGAATGAAAACTAGAAAAAGCAAAAGGAAACAAACGTAGCCTTGGAGGGTGAACGATTTCCCAAGATTCAGTCTGTTGTGAAGGTAGGGGGGATTGTGAGGGATTTCCTGGAATACAATATTTTTAGTCTCTTTCTCTCCTTTCATGTTTGCGCTTCTCTTCTCTCACACTGCAGACTCTACAAAGGGCTCGAAGATGCAAGTTAAATTCTTTTGTTTCAAACAGATACCCTCACTTCAGCAGGAGAGAGTGCTTGCAAGATCCAGTCTCATTCAGCTTCCCCATGAGGGGACACAAATTCCTTTTTCTCCTCCGCCCCGCTCTCTCACCTTCTGGATGGATTGCGATGATGGCTCGCACCACCTGCACCAAGAGCTTTGTCTGACAGATACAGAAAAAGGATGCTGACACTTGACAGGTTGCAGCACTGTGTTTACTAAACCTCAGCAGTGGGGGAGGTAGACCTTAACATCATTTCCCAGGGTTGCTTGCAGTCTACACAATCACAAGTACAAACAGAGTGAAAAACAGGGTTGTTTTTTTTACTTCTTGGGGACAAACAATGTTACCAAAAAAAAATAAAAGGTAAGGAGTTCATACAAACAGCCGGTCAGTTGGATGTAACTGAAACCATTTGGCTTTTTCACCATTAATCTAAATGGATCCAGTCATTAACGTAACAGCAGGCTATCAGCAGTGAAACTCAATGTCATGAGTAAAGGAACATCTCGCACACAGACACGTGCCCATTTTCGTGGCACATCTCTGAGTGCATGTTAAGCACTAATCTATATGAATTAGATACGTGTTAGTAAAGAGGTGTGACTTGAATGCTAAACCGCGATGAAAGTCAATAAACGTGAAATAATAATTCAGGTAATTATGGGAGATGGTGCGAGCTGAAAGGGGGGCTTTAAGACTGTCAGGGCCCGGTTAATTTTTTGCGTGGCGTTATCGGCATCAGCTTTTCAGCACAATGACAGTTTTACAAGGTGGTTTTAATTTCTAAAATAGATTCACAGGGTGTTAGCGCTCGTAATGAAAGAAGACTAAAAGCTGGGGCTGGGAAAACACACAAATATACTTGGGACACATTCCTGCATAACTTAACTTGACTGATCAAAAAAAATCGGGAAAAAAAACTGAAACGTGTCTTCACAGCTTAATCCCACTGGGATATCATCTGTCAGCTCATTAGCCTTAACGATCACACTGCATCTGTACACTGTCCAAGCATGTTTGACCCTAGCTGGTTTGAATACATCTTGAGTAGCACAGTGTGATGACTAACCTCGCACAAGCATGGAACGCAGACGCTCCTTGACAGCAGCTATGTCTATAAAAGTCATAGTGTAAAGTTTAAAAACAATCACAAACAACCAACAAAATACATGAAATTATTAACATCATTGTGCTATACTTAAGTATTTTATGCTGAGTTAATGCCTCCTTGGGTGGATGAGGTTTGTCCAGAGTTCCAGCTTCTGTAAGTTGTTACTTCTGGATTGACAGTTGAGGTGGTGGATCCCGTTTTAACGAAAGTGTTCTTTAACAAAGGGATCACACTCCTCAGTATCCCTGGTAAAGCCGATGCCAGGGAACTACCTGTTAGTCCTTGGATTCAGGAGAAACAATGAGGATTTTGTCCTCGTCATGGAACCGGTCCAGAGTTCCACAGGCAGGACATTTGAGTGCATCCATCCATCAAAGTGTCATTTGGGTGGTGCCTTACAAAAATGCGGTATTCTGACCTTCTTGTGGTGAGTACTGATGGCTGTGTTCGCCCAGTGCAGTGTATTTTATATAAACCTCACACAAGTGGCGACACTTTGTTAAAAGCTAAAGGTTTGCTTCAGATCGTGTTGATTTGATCAACGCGATGACCTCAGGATTTAACAGTCCACGCTGATTACAGCAGGGCTTCGTGTAATTGTGTTAGTTGAGCACAAAGAGCTGATTTCACGTTGGCCAGGACCAAAAGCAGGCCGCTGCTGCAGCTCAAGGGTATGAATAAACCTGGGTCAGTTACCGTCTGAGACCAATTGAATTCAATATGTAAGGCTGACAGAATTTGCAAAGGAATGAGTACCTGTGTGTAGGAGTAGAAAAGTAGGAGTGGAATGCTGTAAGTGCGAACCATTAATCTCCACAGTATTATTTCATCTCATACTCTAATGCTGACATTTCCTTAAAAGCAAGCCTAAAAAAAACACAGAAAAAAACCCTCATAACTTTGTGTCTGCTGGTATTTTCACAAGACACGTAACTGACACAAGGATTTCCTATATTCTCCTCCACAGGTGGGAGATTCATAACTCCCTTGTTTGATATATAGACCATCCACCCGCAACTGGCCCATCTCTTATGAATGGGCTTGATATACAGCAGTATTGCTGTCAGGGTAAATACCTCCAAGCAACAGACCTTTATTCAATTTCTAACCTGTCAGAAATACAAGCTGCTCTACTCCGGCAGCTACTTTAAATGTTGCATGCCAAAGTGAATTACTTTCACAATATGAAATCATATATATTCTTATTTTTCGCTAGCCTAAAAGTATTTTGCAAACAACAGAGGGGGTTAGGCGGGTAAATACCACTGTGCACTCATGGAGCAGAAAGATAAGGGGATCGCAAACAAAAACTATTATTGAACCACGGGGGAATTTCAGGTAATTAACTTTTAAGTCTTTGGAGGCAGCAGAAAAAGAAGAGTCTTTACAGAAAAGCTATGCAGAAATCATTGTGAAGTTTATTCATTAAATTAAAGGATTAAGTACAGCTGGAGAAAGTTAACGAGCAAATATGGAAACATGATCGGCTTATTACTGCCTGAACAGATTTAAAATGCATCTCGAAGTCACCGAAGCCACAATTCCATACGGTAGCCATCAAGAGCAGTCACTGCTGGTTTTCAACATATGGATAATTAGCTAAGGCACGATGCAGGCATGAATACAGTGTTTTTAAAGCCCCTGTCAAGATGGGTTTTAAATATGAAGTCAATTAAACAATTTCTCCCAATAAGCCTCTTATCCTGAAGAACATGGTGCAAAACAAACAGAGATTTTAGAGATTTAGTGCTTTTTGTTGGGTGCTCTTCTGTTTTTGTCGTTACAGTCCACTGCGATTAAGTCACACAGTTCCAATGCGTTAAATGCTTTCCAATACAAATGTTTTCTTTTGCTTATGTAACTTTCTGAATGTTGCATATTTAGTCATGTACATTTAATGGTGTCCTGTCCTGTTTCCATTATAGTATGAAAAACTTATAGGTAAAAAAGCAAAATAACTAAGAAATTGCCTATCGATGAAGCACTGTGCAAAAATCGAGAGCTAAATGACATTTCTGTATACTTGCAAGGAGCCAGATTTACAAGGTTGAGTTTCTAGAGCCATCTGTAAAACATGGTGGAGGCTCTGCCATGGTTTGGAGCTGTATTTTAACCAGTGGTGTTGGGGATCTTGCCAAAACGTGCACGAAAAGTGCAATCAGATTTTGATCCACCACATAATACCATCTGGAAAGCATCTGTTTGGCATTGGTTTCATTTTTTTTTAAGGATGAAAAGAATCCCAAACACACTGCCAGTGCAGTAAATGCACACATCGATTGAAAGACAGTGCAACATCATCTAGATCATCTAGACAGAGAATGGAACAAAAGGCAGAAACATCCAAAGAAGAGCTTTCAATGTCCTCTAAGAAGCCTGGAGAACCATTTCTGAAGTCTACTTAAAGAAATGACAAAAAAAAACTGTCTAAAACAGAGTTCAGGCTGTGTTGAAGAATAAAGGTGGTTTAATTGAATATTAGTATTATTGTATGAACTATTTTTTCGCCTTATATACTGTATTCAGTATTTCTGTAAAAGATAGAACCTATTTCCTTTTTCTTTTAGCAAATTATAAAGAAATGAGGGGTGGCTCAAGACTTGTGCACGCTACTGTAAATCTATGAAGATAAAAACAAACAAACAAAGCATTATTTTCCAAGTAGACCCAGTGGGGTTTTTTTTGTCCTGGCATAACACAATGATACATGACAAAAAGGACATGCATATGAAGAGAAACAATCAGTATCCAAACCCTGTATTCATTAAAGTGATTTTCTGTGCGAGGGAGAAAGTTCATTTGTTGCTCTGGGGACCTGCAGCGAGCACCGCTCTTTTGGTTTAATTTGGAAGGCAGCCTAAAAATAAAAATCATACTTCCAATGCTTTGACAGAAAATAAATAAATAAATAAACCAGGGGTTTGGATTTCATTTTCTAAATCTTTGCCCTGCAAATCACTCCTCAAAATGCTGTAATTATGATGCAAATGTTTTGAGTGCATTCATTATATGAGGCGGATACAATCTTAAAGCCCATTCAATTAAAAAGAGAACTAAAAATACTGATAAGAAACGTTACCCATCTGTGCACTCTTCCACCATGAATAAAGAAACACAATACAATAAAAAATGAAAATAATACAATCGCTCCTTTTCATCAGTTTTCTTTATTTCGGTTCTAAAAGGTGGGACGAAATAGAGCCGCATTTTACGCTTTTATTTATTCAAATGAAACAAAGCAACCTAACAACATCAATGCACACACACACACACACACGTGCGTGCACGTTTATTCCTCATCATTATAAGCTTTACATAACTTCACTGGTGTGTGTCATATATAGTATTTGTGCATCCGTACACTCAGCACGGGGGCAGCTGCGGGGCTAATTTGTTTAGAAGGAATTAATTAGACATTATTAGGGGGAAAACAATGGAGCAGAGGCAGGGTGTTTAACGATGGGACGTTAAAGAGGCAAACCTGTCACGGAACAATAGGCTAATATCCACCCACTGCTACCCACTGCTCAATTACTTTATCACACAATAGGACACGGCGCACACACAAATAAATCCGAGCAGCCGTTGCATTCTGTGATTAGGCCTCGGTCTCAACGTTCATCCATGACTGAGTGACAGCAGAGGTTGTTTCTGTGTGTGAAAGATCGTCTTTCTAATTGAGCAGATGTTTCAGGATTAAAGGTATCCTCTCTTATACCTTCACAGATGACAGCGCTATTGAAATGTCTTCTGTTGATGAACCTCAAACCTGATTAGAGAACTAAATGTAGAGGTATTGACTGCTTTTAGTTTTGCTTCTTCAGATCTCGTTCCAAACTAATTCCAGTCCTTTTTCAGCATCTTCCTACTCTTTCCCTAAGGCTAGGTTGCGACAGCGCTCTGTAGCTGCGGTCCAAACTGTCTCCCCGTCTCCTTTCACAGCCACTTCTCGAGAACGGCCAAGGCGGAGTTGAAGGTGAACTGGGCCGGGTGGGTTCCGCGGTGAGCCAGCAACAGGGAACCTGCCTCAGGCCCGTGGCCCGCCGCCATCAGCTCAGCGGCGGCTTTCTCCACATCCCAACCGCCCTCCTGCTGGTGCGACAGCATGTGGGAGCTTAGCAGGGGGTACAGGGCTGAGGAGACGCAGCCTACCAGGAGCCCAGCATCTAGGAGCAAGGAAAGGAGCTCTTCATCGCAGGAGGAAGCAGTCTCCTGGAGGAAGAAGAAAAGGGGAGGAGAACGTGTAAACACACATGTGGGGATAGAATCAAGAGAAACTAAGTTTCCTTTTAAACTGTGATCCTGTTTTTTTTTTATCCCTGAAAAGAACACGTGTCAAGATAAACAGCCAAAAATTTTGAATGAATGTATCCAATTTCTCTTCCAGGTATCAACCCTAAACATCTACTGGCTGACTGAAGACTGAAAGCAGCTGGTGGAGTTGAATTTGTACCATCCACTGCGTTTTGCAGAAATAAGGTTTTGTAGCTCAATGCAGCCGCGGCAGCAGGAACCTTTAAAGGCTGTATGATTACAATGTTACACTTTCAGTGTCAGGTCACATCCTGTGTTGACCCGCGGCTGACCGCCATTTTTCTCGCATGTGCTTTCGATCACACACAGCTTCTCGCAACCACCAATCCACCCACACACACACACACACACACACAACTCTTTTTCCTCTCTTTTTCCTTTTATTTGCAGCTTCTCGCTTACTAAAAGTGTTTAGAGCATATGCTCATAGAGTCATAAACAGACCTTTATATAATATTTTAATCCCATCATCCACCTGGTTACATCAATGAATTACATGCAAATTCAAACAGCTAAATGCCGTTAGGGCAGCTAAGAGTGGTTTACAGGCCATGCAGAAGCCAGGCTGAGTGCTGGGGTTGAGAGGGCCGTCTCTCCATGACTCAGCCTGTCTCCTCTGCACCCTCTCACCTGTTTGCTAACTCTATTATTAAGATTGCACTTCCTCAACTTTACACGCTTGTGTGCATGCACACGCAGACAACAGCGTGTCCTTGTTGGGGTATTTTTGGAGCTGAGGCAGATCAATTATAAATGTGGAGCCCATGTCTTCTCTAGTGTAGCGGAGAAGGTGAGCAGAGCCAAAACTCGATCTTTTTCCCCTGCATGGACAATTCCTCCTTTAAACACACACACAAAGAGCCTTTAAGAGGATCACTTGGCTCATGTGATGATAAGCATTAGTTATTCAGCTGCTGTCTCTTACAATGACATTGTCTCCTAGGGGGAGATTACTGATATTTTGAACTTAAAGTAATTTTTACTTCGTGCTAATGTTAGAAGGTCTGGGAAAGAACATCAGTATAGTGGATTTAATGCATTTTCCATTTAATGCGTTTTAAACCCTGCCAGGTCATTATTGCCCTGTTGCCAAAGGATGAGAGAGAGTCGGCATGTGACTAGTGTGACGTGCATGACTACTAATTTAATTTCTAGGCCTTCTATTGAGAGACAAGACCAGATGAATCATGACAAGCTGGGGAAAGGAAAGATGACAGACTGAGAAATTTTTGAACCTAGAACAGAGGTGGATGAGGAGGTCATCCGTGTATAATGAGAATCAAGGAGGAAAAAACTACAAGAGAGACAGCGGGGGTTAGGAGTGTGGAAAATGTATGATGAAGAGAGCTTGGGGGGGGGGGGGGGGCATAGAGGAGAATGGCTGACATGCACTGAGAGCGTCAGTTACATACATTTTTAAATCCACCGACTGTTTTCAGGAGCTGAATGCACACCAGAACTGAGAAGAAGCACTTCAAAAACACCTTCACACTTCAGCTTTATTTTTCATTTTGCAACCTCAACAGAGACTCTGAACAAATGTTCTACATGGGATTTCTGGAGCTTTGTGGAAGATCAATGTCACGAATGATGACTTTTTTTTTTAAATTTACATGCAAAAGAGCAACTGATTCTTATTCTTCAGAAGTGTGAGTAGGAAAAAAAAGTGTCATTTATATAAATGTGTGCAATTTGGCACTGAAGAACAAGTGGTTATGGTAACACTACACTGAAGAAAGGATTTCTTGAGATGTGAAAACGCATAGACAGTGTGTCAATAAAGTCAGACAAGGCAAGAAACACAAGGTGAGATGATGAAACAGGCTGCAAACAAGACAAATGTTTAGCCAGATTGCAAAAATGCCTTTATTTGGAAGAAAATACTCCAACATGCAACTTTTTCCTGTCTTCCGAAAGGCCTCCACAATCACGGTCAGATCTCTATCGAATAAGTTGGGATGTGGTGAAATGGGAGAGTGACATCATGGATGTGCATACCAACATCTGTGAGGAAAGTGTTCAGCACCTTGTTAAATCTATATCATCAAGAATTAATGCAGTACTGAAGGAAAATGTGGTCCACCCCAGCACTAGCAAGGTTTATGGAATTAATCGTCCGGTGAGATGTATTTGATAAGGATTTTTATCTGATTATGATCATTACAATTAATCCTGAGCAGGTTATCCCAACCAGTATATTTTTGACCAATGAAAACCCAATCTATCAGCCTCATTGTGGTGGTATGAAAAAAAGTCAGGGGCTCATAAACCCACGATAAGTCTGCAGGCGTCATCTTCTACAGCTCTGTAGTGCCTTTTGATGTTCTAAGTGCGATTAACCTCAGATTTGATCTGATTGGACCTTAAAGCCTGTTAATCACTGAAATAACCTGCTGGAGCCTGGCTGTAATGAGAGCTCACGCCTATAGCAATTGCAATGATGATAACGTGTGGCTTCTAAAATAAGCTATACACCTTATCAGCTATGACTGATATGTAGCACACTATCAACTACTGGGGAGTGTGAAACAAAAGCGCCAGAGTTGCGGAAGCTCTAAATATCATACCTGCAGAGGAGACTAGATTAGCATTACAACACACAAATTAATTATCAGATGCAGTTGGTTGTGGCTGCATGAGATGTGTACGAATTTAGAGGACAATGATCTAGCCCCGCTCCTGTGCACGGTGACCAGTGTAGGGACAGAAATATGCAAATATTGTAAACACGCACACAAACACTGAATCTAATAAATAAACACAAAAAATCATGTTTTCCTGGTTATGGGAGTTGTGCAAGGAAAAAGAAAGCGAGTACATCAGTCAAGCACAGGCCT